AGCTGTTTAACGACGCATTGAACTTCAATATCAGAGAACAAAAGTTTAAGGAAATATTCCAGGAATGGCGACGGAATTTTGCACACCACCTCGAACTCGCAAATCTCCATGTTTTGCTTGTGTTTACTAACCACTTGTAAAACAACATCTCCTCTCGTTACTTCTCAAGGTACAGACAGGACACTCTGGAATCTCACGGGCCACGCTTATAGTGGAAGTGTAATAATTTATGGCTGCCATATTTATTTTTTTACCTGAGTGCCCAGGGCCAGACAGTCCACCCCTGCTCGTTTGTCTTCCGAGCATTCTCGGACAGAAGACACAGAATAGGAAAAAGTACAGGTCGAAAGAAGGTTATATTTTTTACCGAGAAGTCTGTAGTCCTTCTATTGTAAGATACACTTGCAAAAGTAAAACATGATTTTTGAGTATTGACAGTTCCTAAAGATCTTGCATACCGATCACATGTGAACTGTAGAATGTAGGCGGTTGGCGGGTGCTCTGATGTAGTATGCTCCTTCTTTCCTATCAAAAAATTATCGTCCTTATCTTTCTTCCTTTTTTAAAAGTGTTTGTTTTTCTCTTGCAACACCTCTAGTCTTTGACACTTATGTGACCTCATTGTGTTGCAAGTGTGGTAAAACTCTCAGTACATTAAACTAAACTGCAGTATGGATTAAGGAACTGAGAAGGGGAGATTTTTTGTCTTTTTTTTACAAAATAAAAAGTGAAAGCATTTTTTGGATAAACATATTATGCAAATTATTTTCTGGCAAATACAATATCAGCTCCGCCCGTGGACCCAGTACAACCGAACCTACACATGGGATGATTGCTTTCTGTACGCACTTTTTGGTGGATTATTTGCTGACTCTGTGTCCTACGTCTTTTCTTTCATCTCTGTGACATTGGAACCCGTGCCAAACATATCATTACATATTCTGTGAACTTTGTTCCAAGATAAAAAGGCGTCCCAGACTTTTGAAGAGATTTATGATCTGTCTTCACACATATTCTTTTGTGGAAGAGAGCATTAACCTAACCAAAACACCATTACAACAGGCTGGTAAGGAGCTTCAAGGACTCACGGTTTATTGGATACTCCAAACAACAACAACAACAACAACAACAAAAACCCAACAAATAACCTTTCACGAAATCGACTGTTAAGACTTTCCAGCGGGAGTATTAGATCAGATCCCATCAACGAAAACCAGCATATTAAAAAGTTTAGTCTTAAGTAATTATTATGTGAAAACGACCTTGGATGCACCAGTAGCTAAGTTCGTATCGTATTGAACTACCTACTACGATACCCCAGTTCAAACCTCAGACCCAGTATTTCTGAAAATTGAGTTGATTGTATGGGGAGCTTTCAAAGATTATCGGCGTCTGTTGTCAGGCGGTTAGGCGCTTCGACGTTGCACGATGAAGACATGAGATCGATTCCCTTGAGTGAATGTGTCCGTGTGGGTGGGGGTTTTGATGTAAGGGGCTCCTTATGCTTTTGTCTTCTAAAACATCGTTTCAACTTGCATGGATTTTTTCCTCAGTAGGGAAAATTTGTGATCAAGCATCTCGGCCTTTCTGCATGGATATCGTGTTGCTCCCAGTATGAGTTGCCCCTGACAGACAGGATTAAAGCCCGCCCCCTAAATGACCAAGATTACGTCGAATGGGCGTGAAGCACCTACATTTAGCATGTAAAAAAAAAATAGAAATCAAGACTTCCCATCCTTTTGGCTCCGTGAAATCTGGGATCTTATACCAGAAAGGAACGCCACACCGTAGCGTCGAGCAACGACATGTTTGTAAAACTATTCTCCATTGGTCTAATATTGTTCAATTTGTTTTCTTTGTTTGCATATTTGTGTGTACAACTACGTATTTAGGCATGTATTTTTGCCATTGCAACACAGATTTCCAAACAGCGATCAGTTAAGTGCTATTTATTTAATTTTTATATTGTAATTCTCAACTCTTAATTTAAACAAAGTTACACAGACAGCTTAACTCAAACAAAATAATTTTTAGAAAACCACTTTCGATTTAACCAAGTCGCATTGCATGCACACCCTCTGTCTCACCTCCAGAAGGGCATCGCTGTGATGCTGCTCCCAATCTATCTGCACGTCCGCGCCTGTTCTTACCCGGCGATCTCCACCTTCTGATCGATTGGGTTTGTTAACTCTTTGACAGCTGTGGCCACAGGTTCCGTGAGCCAAAAGTGGGGCATGCCTGATATCGTCTGTTGCAGATGAAGTCTGTTTGTTTGTCTATTTGTCTGCTCGTTTGTTTGATTATTTGGTTAAGTATGAAACATGATTGATATCGTCTGCTGAGGATTCAGTCTGAATGATTTTGTTTCTCTGCCAGTCTGTTCGTCTGTATGTTCATTTGGTTAAGTACTTTTTGTTTGGTAGCAGACATCGTGTGTTTCACGTTTGATATCCAGTCTTTTACAGTTGTGCGCATGATTCGGCTAAAATTATATGTGACTTGCAGAAATTCGAAATTTGAATTGAAAGGGTAGTCCGAACTGAAGGCGCGTATCCTGCAAAGTGGGGTCTTAACAGTGGGTCTGGTTGGTGGAGCAAATGGTCCATCTTCGGAAAGACTTAACCAGCGTCCGCGGTGTAATGGTTACTCTAAGGTATCAAACAAACGGTGAGGGGGGAGGGGGGAGGGGGAGGGGTTAGGAATAAACGGGGAGGGGGGAGGGGGGGAGTAGTTGTTGGACAAGTGGTCCAAAATTCATAAACGGGGGGAGGGGGTTGGAATACAAAAGGGGGGGGGGGAGGCACTCAACCTCATATCCCGTATTAGTAGGAACAAATCTTTTTTATTTCTCCTTCAGTGAATAAAAGAACAAGAGATCATGAATTATTTTTGGATTTTAGTAAGTTACTATGACAACCTTTCCCATTTAGGAACGAACCAGTTTCATTAAGAAATATGAACCAATGTACATTTTTTAAGAAAATGCTCAACGTACAGAAAATTGAGTTAGCCAACTCGGTACCGGTACTATTGCCATTTACAACAACAAAAAAAAAAGAAGTTTCATTCAGATATCTAGATTCTAGATACAATGTTTCACTTGATCGTTGGTCGTAGCAAGCTGGAAAATAATGAACAGAGGGTATGGAATAAGAAGGGGGAGGGGTTACAAAAAACTTGGGGAGGGGGAGGGGGGTGGGGGGAGACGCTTATTCGATACCTTCGAGTAGGCGCTTCGTCTTCGGACGCAGATGACACTAGTTCGATTCTCGTTATTTTCATCGAATATTTCGGTCTTTCTGCTGGGGCGTTGTATTCTTCTCAGCCCAGGTTTGCCCTGACAGTCGGGGTCGATGCCCGCTCCATAATAGATATAAAATTGTGTCAATGGGGGCGTGGAAACACCTACATTAAAAAAGAACCCCAAACCTTTTTGTGTATCGGAGGCTTGCAGAGCTTCCCTTAAAAATCATGCTATTACAACCTGCATCTGATTGACTCCAGATATGACGAGGCTCGTGTTCTTCAAAATGCTCTTTTTCTTGGCGTTTGTTCAGACGCTGTGTCTCGGACATTTCTAGAAGGGCAACGGTTATCCTTCCGGGCGTAAGTTTAGAATAATCTGCTAGAAAAATATATCGTGTGTTTACATATTGTGAACTGTGATCTTTGATGAATATTATTTTCAATGCCAGCTTCTGCAAATGAACTCGTTAATGTTGTTTTTTTTGCCCAGCAAACTGCCCAGAGACAGAAAGTTTGGAGAAGGTTTCTTGACTCGACATGCAATTATTATTGTATTTCAAGACTTGAAAAAAAACAACCTCTGTAAGGGTTTTTCTAGGTCGAGATTAAGGGAGCTAAAAGTCTTACTCGTATAGGATCAAGTCAGGTGAATTTAGCTCCAAAAATTAAAAAAACTTCCAGTGTGCAGCACAGTCAAGAAAGCCATGTTTGATCATTCGGACCAGTGTCATCTGCACAGCAGACCAACATTACACCAACTGCGCTATCTATTCACCCACTTGCAATCTTAATCAATTACTATGTAAAACGTTGGTAAGCTCATCCTCATATTGAAAGTTATTTCCTTTGACTGACAAGATATGATAAGATGTATGAACATCTCAGCACATGAACACAGTAGGCATGTTTTGAAGCAAAATAAAAAAGTGTTATAGAGTTGTCAATTCTCACACGTAGTTGCGAGAAGATATTTATTCATAATAATATGTTACCTCTACTCATTCAATTACGATCAATTCAAAAGATCAGTTGATTGTACTGACTTCAGCGGGGAGTAATTTTACCCCCCCCCCCCAAAAAAAAAAATCTTCAGGAATCATGGAGATTGTTTTCAGGGCATAGATTTAGCTAAAACTAGAATAAATAATAAATTGTTACACTGTTATAAGAGAGGAGAAAGTCTTTATTCACTTTTCAGACCTTGAAATCGCACAGACTCGTTTGTGTTCAGTCAGAGACAAGGAGTTGTAACTTTTCACCTATTTAAGCTCTGCGTATCTTTTATCTACAATCATGCCAAATAATCCTATAAGAACTCTCGCTTACAAACTCCCACAAAAGAGGGTTTTATAAATTCTACCTCAAATCCCTGATGTAAAATACTTTTAAGTTATTATTTTTTCTTTAGTTTTCTATTGTATCAACATTAAAATTATTGTATTCTAATTGAGCTAACGTAAAAAAAATAGAAAGAGGGTCGATAGCGAGTTGCAGGTAAGAAACCTACGGCAACTGTGGATACGTGCAAAAGGAAACCAGGCGAACATTTGGAGGTAAAGTTGGAAAAAGGGAAAAGACGGGGGTTGGGGAAGGAAAGGGAGAGGGGGGGGGGGGTTTGCTAAGAAAATGCGGGTGTAGAGAAGGAATGGAGGTTTCTCAAGCGTACGTGAGTGAGTGAAAGAGTGACTGGGAGAGAGAGAGAGAGAGAGAGAGAGTGTGTGTGTGTGTGTGTGTGTAGTTCTTGAATCGAGAGAGGAGGCATCACCGAGTTTTACTTCCGAACTCCCAGTTAGTGTGAAAATTTCGGCTAGGAGCACCTTGCTTGCCGCTGTCTTCCTCTCGTCCTCTGTGTGTGCGCTGTGCCTCCGCTGTCGAGACAGGCTTTGCACCTCGTTTCAGGAGGCTCATTTGATTTCACTTCTAACACTTAAAAACATGGAGGAAAGTAAGTTCAATAAGGATTAATAACTAAAGGTTTTTAAAAATATTTTTCAAATTTCGATGATGTAGATCTAGCTAGCTGAAAATCGTTTGTTTTTTAAACACTACTTTTCTACTGCTATGTCATAGGAAGGATCCCGAAAAGTGAAAGCTTTTGTACGGAGTGCATACTACATTTATGAAACGCATCAGTCTTTTTTTTCCTTTTACTTTAATTTGACCCTGTGATTTGGGTAGTCAAGGGGCAGGTTCACGGATTTTCTATGTCCTGAAAGTGAAAGTGAGCGAACCGTTCAAATCACACTAAGCTTATATCAGTTGTGATCGGGAAATTTCAGCAATCAGCTTACGCCCGGGCAATGGCCTTCGGTGTTGCATGAAGGTCATGTAGGTGAGCTGCTTTTTCAAAGCCAGGTACACAAATTCTGTGTCAGCTTTGGACAATACAGCTTGAGAAATTGGGCTGAGGAGTTCGAAAAGAGGTGTGGGGAGATCTTTATTTTTTCAGCCCCGTCCACCGTATTGGTCTAGAGTTGCCGTGCTTGAGCAAAAAACAGCACGACCCAAATTTGATTCCCGTCGGAAGGGGGGGCGTGGGGAGTGACGTGAAGGTTCATTTCGAGCACATCAAATTTTCCCTCACCCTCCCCCTAAAGATCAAATGTGTCTGTTTGGGTCTAAAATCGTGTTAGTCATAAATAAAACGTTAAACTGTGGTTGTAATCAGGCTATGTCGTGTCCGTAAACCACTGCAATACTTAAAAGACCGATGCACTTTAAATTGAAAATGAGACAGCTGGATTTAGCAAGGTCACTCTGTCTGGTATTCATGGCGAGCATTCTTAAAAGACACAAACTCATTGATTTACTCTCACTCTGTGTTTAAATACCATGCCGATATTAATTTCAAACACGGTATTTCTGGATTATTTGCATTTTAACAATCTTATTTCTTTTCCGCATGAAAACTATTTTTGCCAAAACTTTACAATAATATGATTATTATACTTGTCTTTTTATCTCGAAATAAATTCCGGACACGGTAAAAATTAAAGAGATAATCTATGGTTAGATACACTCCTCCCCCCTCCCCCTCCCCAAAGATCTACAATACTTACTTAGCCTTTTCACTCCAAATATGACAATTTCGGTCCTGCAGACGGCATGCAGCATTTTAGGCATGCCGCTACCAATCACATATCCGTTTCTGAGGTTACCAAGTGCCCGTTTTCAGCTGGATAATATGAGAAATGACAGCACCGCCACCCCCCCCCCCCCAAAAAAAAACCCAACAAAAAAACAACAAAAAACAACAACAATCCCAACAAGACAAACGATTACATAAGGATACGACGACCTTCATGGCGGAACTGAAAAATGACCTCACAGTATTTTTAACGGCAAGTTTGACGTCTCACCACTTAATTACGACGTCCCTAGATTTGTCTTCCTCTGTATTGTAAATTCTGGATATTTCGGCTTATGTCAGCTAAGGAAAAGCCATAGAAATAGCGTATCGGTTATTTTAGGAGTTCTTAGAGAATTTGTTAAGGTACACCTCTAAAATGCTATGAAGATGATTTAAGATCTTTTTGTGTTTTATGTTATTTTGGTTTCTCCTTCATAGACTGAAAAATATATTGAATATAACATAAAATACATTTTGTGCCTGCGCAATTAAAAGAAAAATAATATAGAGTTTGTATTTTTAAGTCCCCATTTCGACACAATTTAGATCATTTTGGTGGCTGGCTTTATCTGTGCTTGTTCATGTCAACCTGGTCTGAAAAGGATCCAACGTCTCTGAAGAAAAACAGAAACTCGATCACATTTTCCCCCTCATAGGAATCGATTTTGGGGCTTCTGCGTGTCGAGCGAAGCACCTACAGGCGCACGTCAGCAAGGGTTACATGGAGTAAACATGTGTTGAATTTAGAGAAAAGACACTAGTAACAAGAACATAATGGATTAAATACGGGAATGCGCCCCCTTGCGCGAAACTTAACTTTTTTCCATCTATAATATGTTGATGAGAGACGTTTAGTTGGTGAACTCACACGGTTATTTATTCCATCTCAAACACATTTTAATGTGTTTTCGTAAATTAACGTGGAGTGACCGGACTCATCAAGACTGCAAGGAAGGCTTAGGAAATCCGATGTGCCGACGTGTTCTGTTCGAACAGAACAGAAATGCGACTAGACTAACTTTACTACTCTTGTGATTATAATATACTCCCTCCGCCCCATTTTTTTACTCGTAAGATTGGTCTCTCAAAGTCATCTCCTTCGATCATCTAACGTTTGAAAGTTTTGGGTTCGATGCTGTTAGGGTGGGTTACACGTTTTCTTTTTTATTTCTTTATTGGAATCTGCACAGCAGTAGGTCTATGATCGAGATGATGTCATAATAATCATGTTAGGGTGTGGATGACCTTGATCGTGATGTGTTGTGAAAAAAAGGGGGGAGAGATAAGGGAGGGTGGTCAAAAGTAAATAACAAACTTGGAAGAAATGTTGGTATTGTACTCAGGACTTTGTGATCAAAATAACTAAAATGATTTAATAATTTAATTGAAATTTGCACTACAAATTTTAGAATGCTTTAATAGACTTCATAACGTCTGGCTCAAGTACCACACTCTTGTTCAGCTTTAATAAGACAATAAATATTTCATCCAAATCCTTCACTATTACCCTTAACTACACTGAAGACATAATATGGAGAATTTTAGACATTTTTAGACGTGCTTTAATAGACTTCATAAAGTCTGGCTGGTGTATCACACTCCTAACCGGCTTTAAAAAGTCAGTGAATCGTTTATTTAATTCTTCGTTACTTCGTTTATTTACACTGAAGACAGTCATAACAACAAACGCTGTATGGAGAATTTGAATAAAGCGCAATTTCAATATCACAACTCCTTATCACATCAATGTATTGAACAAAAAAAATAATTAGTTATCTACCTCTCTCTCTCTCTCTCTCTCTCTCTCTCTCTCTCTCTCTCTCTCTCTCTCTCTCTCTCTCTCTCTCGGCATTCTTTCAATTATCCAGATATCGGGGCCCCTTTAAAAATGTTTAGTGACCTCTGTTTTAGATTCATGCTGAACTCTAAGTAAACTCAAGGACGCTTCTTGTTTATTCTCGATTTCTCGACAAGTTGCTCGCTCCGACAGTATTATGATAGTTTCCTGGCACTTATCAAGCCTGATATAGAAAGTTGAAGGTCAGCGCTGGGTACTGCTCACATCAGCGCTGACAAACCCAATTTCATGCTTCAAGAGAAATATCGGTGTTCTGTGATATGATCACTGTCTACATCTTTGTTTCCTGGTTGTTGTTGTTGTTTTTTAAATTTTTTTTGCTGACAGTTGTTTCTTTACTCTTGCCTATCGTGTTTTGTTTGCTTTTCTGTGTGATATTGTTTTAGTTTTAACATTGTTTTTCTTTTTCATTACCAATGCCATGTGTGTGTGTGTGTGTGTGTGTGTGTGTGTGTGTGTGTGTGTGTGTGTGTGTGTGTGTGTGTCTGTGTGTGTGTGTGTGTGTTCATGTTGAAATTGCTATTATTCTTGTTGTTGCCATTCTCTTGTTGCTGTACTTGTTGTCGTGTGTCGTAGTGTAAATAAGTACAACGAGGGCGCTGTAGCTTCAACGTGGCACAGTCATTGACTAGTACACTTACAGTTGACACTTAACTCTCTTTGTTTAAGGTTCTGGATTCTGGAGTCTTATGTTTTGAACCCCAGCAATGATGACTCAGTTAGTTTCATGCTCGGCTGTCATGGAAATGGCCCTGATTAAAATCCCCAATTTCTTTTTGGGGTAACCTTTATAGCTCTCTTCCAGCTTATCTCGGGTCTCTCTGGACGGAATTTAAATTCCGAGGCACCACAGCTTAAATAAGCTTATGCCAGTGTACGGAAGTTTCAAAACAAGATCGTTTGTAATCCTGGAATTTTGATTTCTTGGTGGTATGGCTTGTGCTAATGACTGAAACTAGAATATCTTCAGGTTTGAGGTCAGGACCAGACATTGACAATCATGGTACCCTGCTTACTCTTTCCTATTATCAGCGCCCTTGCTCAGCTCGTTTTTTTCTGACTGTGTTGATTGTCATAAAACTGTCGAAACTACCTATGTCTGTTGCTCTCTGTCTTTATCTGCTCTTCGTTCTCTCTGTTGTTCCACACAGTAGCAGTTTCTCAAGACCATTTGTTCCATTTATGTTCTGTTTATGTGCCTAAGGAATGCCATTAGTCGCTTCTTGATGCTCCTGATTAGAGACATTTCACATCCTGACATTTGGAGAACCTCCGTGTTTGTTTGCCTCTCTGTCCATGAGAATTTGAGCATTCTGAAGACAGCTAGTCGTACACTGTTACCCTTTCTCCGCAGGTGGAAGAAGACAGATGAAGCAGGGAAGAGAGGGGGAGAGGAAGAGGGGCGGATGTGGAGAGAGAGAGAGAGAGAAAGAGAGAGAGAGAGAAAAAGAGAGAGAGAGAGACTTAAAATAGGTAAAAAGACAGAGCGGTGTGCATTATATGTAGCCAGAGAGAAACCCTACTGTAAGAAGAAGAAGAAGAAGAAGAAGAAGAAGAAGAAGAAGAAGAAGAAAAAGAAAAAGAAAAAGAAAAAGAAAAAGAAAAAGAAGAAGAAGAAGAAGAAGAAGAAGAAGAAGAAGAAGAAGAAGAAGAAGAAGAAGAAGAAGAAGAAGAAGAAGAAGGAAGAAGAAAGAA